CGTGTTAATAAGTAAATGTTGTTCAAATTATGTCGTGTTTTATGTCATTTTCATCAGAAAAATCTCATCAATATGTTAAGAAAAAATTTCGGGATAAAAAAAAGGTAAAATTAAAAAAGTTGGTATTTAAATCGCTTGGTTGCCTCGACTCACGTTTCATCCTTATCTTTTAGGGCGCGAGGCTCGAAAACGTAGTCCCTGACTCTACAAGTGTCAGGTTTAGGTTCCTTGCGGATTGACACTTGTGGAGACATTACTGTAGAGTTCTCAGCTGAACGATGTTGGTCGACCTCTATTTTATATTTTTTGCAAATTTAAACGGTCTCAACTTTTTATCACCGAATAAATAAATAAATAAATAACCTAGCATTGCGAACTCCAAATATGATAACCCTTTCGTGACCGAATTCTCTCTTTTTTATATTTGCGTTTGCAATGGATACTAAATTGATCAATTTTCGTTCAAGTGAAACGTACGAATCCGTCGATAAAATTTTGCACCAAGGAAGACTCCAGAATTACCTACATTTCCATCTTCCTTAACGCGTTATCCCAACTCCGTGCGTCACAGCTCACGTAACTCCTCGTTATCGTCGCGATCAAAAGGAGGGCGAAACGAAGAAAGCTCGGTTACATCCTAATTTCATTATCCTCTCAGTGGCGCGTATCTCGGCGTCTAATTTCCCGGCGGTTGATACCGCGGAGAGCAACGCGGGGAAATTACCACCTTCCATCGTGGTTTACGTACGCATCGGAGGAATTTCCCGTAACAGTATTTATAGTTCCCGAAGTGGAACAGGCGTAACGTAATTCGCGTTATCTGTGGAACGTGACTTGGCTCTCTCGACAGGCGTGGCCGTTGTTTTAACAATAACTCCCGTCACCGCGCCCTGTCGATAGACCCGATAGTTTTGGAATTTCCTGGTAATTTACGAGCGTCCAGCCTGAACTTGGCTCTATCGATGAAAAAAACCGGCGGTGCGGTGGAAACTCGGTTTCGCGAACTATCAATTCTGGATCGTCGCCGATGTTGTCGTTATCGGAAGCCCGATGAAGTTTCGTCGATGCACGAAGAGGGTGGAATTTTCGTTTATTCGTGAAAGTTCCTCAGGAGAATTTTTGAGGGATAAGACAGATCTCGTGAGGGGGATCTAACGAATCGCAGAGTGAATTTGCTAGGCGACTAAGGCGATTTGCTGGATCAGTGAATTTTTCTATGAAAATTGAAGACGAAAAGAAGATCGTAAGCTGTGCTACGAGGTTCCCAGTGACTTCGTGTTAAAATCTTCACCGTAGTACTGTATTTTACGTGTTTGATTTTGTACATTTTTTCAAATTTATTTTATACATTTTACGCGACGAAGTAACAGAATGAAAGGAGGACCTTTCAAGTACAGTTTAATCAGAGTAGAATAGGAAATTTTGAGAGTGCGCAGATTGGTAAAGTTTCACAGATCCCAGTGATCTAATGAATTAAAGTTAGCAACAATGGAATGACAATGACGTGAAAAATTTAGTACCGGAGATCCCTGGGTCGTAAATCTCCGTAACTCGAGTCACGGAACGTTCGAAAATTGTGAGAATTACCTGAGCGTATGAAACGATAATGCGTTCATTGTGCAAATTGCTGTGATTTTCCAGGAAGAATGGTAGAGAAGTAAACGTGACCCTCGGCAAGATTTCCTTCTGAAGGAGGTACTCGTAAGTCGTTTAGAGAATTCGACCATTTTTAGCATTTACCGTGGCTCCAAGGGAAGAGATTTACTCCGAAGATTTCGAAGCTGTTCCCTGAATTATTTCGATGCTCGAGAGAGAGAGAGAGATGGAATAGAGGATCCGTCGGTTGATCGAAGCCGGGGCGAAAGAAACGCCGGATACCGGGTGAATGTTTAATGCGTGAAAGGAAGGCCTGGCACGTACCTTCCTCGTCCAACAGGATGTTGTCGGGCTTTATGTCACGATGAACGATTTTGTGACTCTGCAAATAATCGAGAGCCAGAGCAATCTCCGCCACGAACAGTATCACACTCTCCTCCGTGAACATTACTTCCTGTTGAATGTGGTACCTGAGATCGCCGCCGAGCAGCAGGTCAGAAACCATGAATAGATCCTCCTCGTCTGAAATGAACGAAACATTTTTACCCAGGTGAAGAATTCATTTTCACGAACTTATGCAAAATAGATCCAACAAAGGAGCGTTCTGAAGTGATAATCACCGATATTGATGAAACTTTGGTATATAATAGTTCTCGAAGAAATATTTCACACGTATCTTTTTTTTATCGTCAATCCAAGGAGTGAAAATCGCCCTCGAAGATGAGAATACCTAATAAAGTTTATTATTTCGGATTTTCCAAATTTGTTACTGAAAAATACACAATTCGTCAATTTACACTATTTTCCTATCTCCGATAGTTTTCTGTAGATATTAGAGTAAACATGCCTACCACCTCCATCTTCGCCGATTCTCCGAACTATATACCAAAGTTTCATCAATACCGGTGATTATCACTCCGAGGCGTTCCCTCGCAAGGAAGAAACAAAAAAAGGAGAAAAGGTATTTAACCGTCGGCAAAAACGAAAGAAAAAAATGCATCCAGGAATAAACGCTCCTCGAACACGCTTCCCGTCACCGTTCAATCTCGTTAATCACGCGAGAGAACGGCGCGAGGGAGAAACGAGTGAGGAAAACGGTGCCTGCAAACCAGCTAAGAAAGATCGTCGATCGAGTTAGTCCACCTAATGCCCTTAACGGCGTTCGCCATGGAAAATCGATAATGACTAGAGGGGTGGAGGGATTGCCGGTGGAGGAGACGCGGTAATCTTGTTCCGCGGAATTCGAGGAGCAGGCACCGATCGGCTTACCTTGGAAGCTGAACCACAGATTCACCAAACACGGGTGTTCCAGCTGCGAGAGGATCTCCACTTCACGCGCCACGTTCTTCAACGCCCCTCTTACGGCACACTCGCCCTTGTGGACGTACTTCATCGCGTACATGTTCCCGGCACGGTCCCGCTTCTGCACTATGCACACCTATTAAGAAATAATTAATTGCTCGTTAACGGATCAACGGTGAATTATGGAGGCCGCCCGTGGCCGCTGTGTGTTGCTCGACAATGTGCCACGTGTGTAGGGGTGGTTTCTAGAGGTCTCGCTTTCTCTTTTCAGTATATTTCTATTACACCTTCTGTGTACAGTTGAATTTGGGTGGTTTTTAATATAGCGGGTAGAGTTGTGCGAAAGGGAAGATCGATGGAGTGAATTCCGTCGGGAGAGATTGTGGTGAAATTTCATATTATTATCGAGCGACCGAATTTTAATTGAAGTAGGGATACGGTAGTGTACATATTATATTCGTCTATTGGAATACGCGTGAATTGGAGAGGTCTAATGTCGGTGTACAGGGATATTGACATAGGTAATTATAGTTGGAGCCAAATGTGTTGGCCGGTCATGGCCACTTCTACTCCGTCGCTTTTTCTGTGCGATCTACTGAGATACCGAAATGATTAACTCTGCTCTTTGAAATTCTTCCGACTTTAGTGTCAAGGTACGTGATTGGTGCTTAATTATTCATGAATATTTAATTTGGCGGAGTTAGTCACTTTGGCTTCTGAGTGGCTCATATACGTATGCATAGAATTGTCACTATAGGCACAGAAGCGTATCTATTTTTGTCACGTGATCTTTGTCTTACTTACAGGGGTAATATGCTCTCTTCGTCTCGATTGTCTCTTTTTTGGCAGTATGCCCTTTCTGTACTACATTTCATAAGGGCACGAGAGGTGTAGTTTAAAGACGGAAGAGAAAGTTTCCATAGAGCGAACGATGAGAGTGGAACCGAAAAGCGACGGAGGAGAAGTGACCTTGACCGGCCGATACATTTGGCTCAGACTATAGCCGTATATTGAGAGCACGGATTGCTAACTCCCTGATACATCTTGCACGTGTCTCTTTAGTACAAGTTCAAAATCACGACCTCTATCGAAGTCTGTAGTTATCTCTTACGAAAGGATGGACATTTTCGAGAACAGGGTTTCGTTTTTTTTTTATTTTTTTGCGGAGAAAGATCGAACGTTAACGAGCAATGGAAGAAAGTTTCGTTGTACGAAGATTTTCGGTGCATTTAGTTCAGACATCGATTGAGAATGAATTATGGGGGAGGGCTTTGGTCTGCAATGGTAATTAGTCGTGCTTCGGTGAAATAAAGTTAGAGACCCGTTATTGATGAGCGAAAGGAAGGGAGGAGGAGGAGGTTACAACGTGAAAAAACGTTTACGAGTACAACGCAACTGGGGTGGAAAGTTTCGAGTTGGAATTTGGGTCGATGGTGAAGAGGGTTCCTGTTGACAGAGGTAACGTAACCTGTTGTTCCGAAACCAGGTGTAATTAATCTTCGTATTTTTGTTCGAATTTACACAATTTTGAAAAGTTACATTTTCTAGCTTTCAATTTGGAAATTTCCATTTGCACACAATCCCACTGATCGTATTACGGAGCTTCGATTAATATCAGCTCGATAACCGATCCAGATCAGTTGTGGAAGTATTAATATTCCAGGTATTACGTTCGAATTAATTCGATTATCAATGGACATTCTTTTGAAAATTAGAAAATTTACGATCTTCGATAAAACCTTCTTCGTCTCGTTGAAAAATGAAATGTAAAGAAAAGTTTCCATCACGTACCTTTCCGAAACTTCCTTTTCCAATGGCGCGTAGAATTTGAAAGTGATCGAAGTTCACTGGAACGATAAACAAACGACAGTTGTATTAGTAACAAAATATCATGTGTTGTAGAAACGGAGAATGTTCTTTGAAAATTCGCTACGGCTGGTGAATAGAGAGAACAATCGAAGTACTTTTTAACAGTGTGGATCGGTTCACAGAAGCCGCGATGTCCTGTACAAAGGATCAATTAAGTGAAAACTGGCGCACAGGCGCGTGCACCGGAACTCACGGCGCGGCGGTTGTGTAAACCAGCCGTGGTACAGTGGCTGGAGGTTTATCGGCAGCCGTATAGCCACCTCTTAAAATCGTATCGGCGTATCCTGTCATCCGTCGTTTCACCGACGTTAAATCTACGGCGAGGACGCGAAATTTTGGACCGATTCCAACCTCTTCTCTGATATAGGTACACATGGCCTGTGAACGATCCCGCATTTCGATCACGAACACCTGACGCAACAGACGTAATTAACGTGTCGCTGCTGTCAAGAAGATGACTTCCTTGATTTCCTAACTAGGTGTATAGACATCTTTGGATATTGGCTTTTAGGGTGTTTCCAACACTTTGACTGGCGTATCCTGCTCCTGGCCAATTTCCACGTACGCCTGTTTGAAGTTTGAGTGGGAATATTTGCATTTGAAAATTTGAATATTTGAGAGTTTGAAAATTTGAAAATTTGAAAGTTTGAAATATTGAAAATTTGAATATTTGAAAGGCTGAAATATTGGAAATTTGAATATTTGAAAGGCTGAAATATTGAAAATTTGAACCTTTGAAATATTGAAAATTTGAAAGTTTGAAATATTGAAAATTTAAATTTGAAAAATAGAAACTCTCGCATTTAAGCTTCAATTTGAATTCCACGTTTACCTTTCGCGAGCTCTGTAAAATATGAGGTTCCGTGAATATTTACAAATCCCTCAGGAAGCTAAATTACACAACCCTCGCATTAAGCCAGGCTTTTTAAATTTGATCAACTCAAGCAGGAACGGAGTCGCGTCTTTTCCATGAAAATTATTTGTTTTTCGGCGACCTGTGCAAGAAAACGCGGTTGCTCTACATTCCGTATTTGCGAAACAATCGGCTGGCTTTTGTTCATTGTGACGAAGCATCTTCGTGGACATGGTGTAACAATTATGAAGATTAAACTCGAGGAAGGAGGTGTTCTTGATAACCTAGATACCTACTTGTAACACGTAACGAGATGGTTCCCTACCGAGGTTCACTTTAATCGAACCAATAATCAATTCCACGATCTTTATAAAACGAATATGCTAATATTAACCCCTCGATACCTATTTTCACTGAAATCGTTTATTATTTATACATTGTAAAAACTAACATAAGTATTTATCTTTAACCCTCTGCACTCCTTTGCACTTTTTTCACTTCCCACTTTTGCAGTGAAACATTCGAAAATCCAACATTGGAAAGAAAAAATTCGAAATCTTGATGAAATTGTTTCCCTTAATTTCTTCCGTTAACTCACTTTATTTCAATACGAATGAGATTCGAACGAAGCTATAATATATACTACAAATGTCGCCATACTGGCGCCAGTGAAGTGCAAAGGATTCAATTTCGAAATATCAACTACTCCTAGAAAAGAACGGGCATTCTAAGTGATAAAAATCGGTCGTTTCTCAGCCGCTAAAAGACCACCCAAGGATTAAACAAGAATGAAACAAGAGTTACTTAAAAATAAGCAAATATTAACGCTGAATCGGCAGAAAACTGCCTTACCTTCTTCTCCTGGAGTAGGCTCGCTCCTCGTCGACTGGTTGACACCCATTTTTGCCCCTCAATGGATCTCGATACGTGACGCGAGTGGCGGTGGCCGTTGTAACGTGTAGCCAAGTACTTGGATGGTCGAGATGATGAAAGACAGCCACTCGGAATTCTCATGCTTCCACCCACTCATGGCTCGGTTATTCATTCGATCGAATATCTCCTTTCTTCCATCGGCGACTTCGTCCTTGCTTCCTCCTACTCCTTCTCTATCGTCTCGTTGCCCCTTAATCTTGTTTCTTTCTCTTCATATTCTCCCCCTATGTTATTAGATCTCTACCCGAAGGTCACTTCTTTCTGTCACGTCACCTTGTTTCTTCCACCCGAATCAACCCCTTTTTCACCCTACCGCTACTAGAACCTGTTTACTTTTTTCTCCACAACGTGCATATACACACGCAAGATCGTCGGTTATCCTCGGTTTGCACCTCTCAGACTCGCAGTTTCTTTCATTTCCTTAAGCTCAGACATGTCTACGGAAGCGTGCCGTTGGTTGCTCTCGCCTTCGCCCTCTCTCTCTCTATCAAAGCCACATTTCAATTTATTCTCCACTTTTCCTATTTCTTTCTCTCTGCGCGTCGAGCTTGCCTTTTTGTCCAATTCCCTCCAGTTTAGGCACCTTTCGCGGAAACTTCTCCACAGCGCCCTCAATCTTCAAGCACTTCTTCCGCTACTCTGCTTTCTCCCTCTTTCCTCTGTCGCTACTTTCAACCCTCTTCCACACGTAACGTATATATATATATCTTAGGACTCTTTTGTTTCCACCGAACTTCCTCGGACAATTTCAAACATTCAACGTACATATATTCTCCGTGGTGTGGTCGCAGGTATCCAAAGGTGAAATCTTCGGTGAAATATTCGATTGTTACCTGGCGGGTTTTGATCGATGCGCAGATATACCACGGCAGTTCTGGCCGTCGCGTTAATTACCGTCACGCCGATTCGCGCATTAATTAACGCCGGCCTCGCGCTAATTCGTGGAATAACATGCAACGATGGCCGCGGTGGCGACGGGAGTCGATTCACGCCTGTCTGTTTGCTTGCGCTCTTCTCAGCCTGCGAAACCAGAGTGGAAAATTCATCCGCGGCCGGAAAGATTCTACGTAATCGGTCGGGTAATCGTCAATTTGTGGGCTCACGGGCTGGAAATCGTGATTTCATTGGTTTTTGCCAGGGTAGAGGTGGGCGTGCACCGCCGCGAAGGCTGCATAAAATGGGAAATCAGGGGAATTACGAGCCGAGAACGTTCGGCTGGTAGTCGAATGGTAATTTTTCATAACTCGGAAATAAAGTGTGCGCGTGCGGAAATGCGGGAGAATAGGGCTGGCTCGATTGAAGGAACAATGGCAAAGGGGCGGGAAAAGCGGGGGAGAGCGGAGAATTTTTCGGGAAAAATTGTATTCGCCAGCTTTGACCGGTAAACGGAGCGAGAACCGTCGGGGAGGTTGCCTTTTCAGAGAAACTTTTTCCACGAATAAAAGCCATGCGAAATCTTGTAATACTGAAAAAGATTCTTGGAACAATAAAAGACTTTCCGCTTCTTTACAGCGGCATGAATAAGTACTCGCTCTTTTCGAAATCCTATTAATTAGCGTCAATTTTCTCTTGGTATTATGCGACAGAACTTTTCAAGAATGGCGATTATCTTGAGGTTTTCATGTGAATACCTTGCTTATACATCGCGGTTTTTCCCCACGATTTTTCAGTGTAACAGAAATTGAAGCATCGTTAAACGCGATTTTATTCGATTGAATTGATCCAGGGAAAAAAATAGTCGGATGTAATTCGTGTATACGTTCAATTCCCGTTTCGACGGTTACCATTTTTTTCTGGTTTTTTCGTTTCTGTTGCTGCGGGAGCAACCGTGTTCTGTCCTTTTTAAAGAATACTTTTGACAATTTACCAGGAGAGTTGTATTCCCTTTTCGTTGCTATTTCGAACATTTTTCTTTTATCCGATCCGAAAGAATGGTACTCGATGCACCTTCGAGGGTATTTCGATTCATTTTTCCTTCGGAACAGTCACGATCGACGCTAATTCTCCTTCAAGTACGAAGCAAGAGCTTTCTCCGTCGCTAATCCGACCGAAGGACCATAGAACGGGAATGTTCGCGGTAATTACGCCGATGCGATTGTTTCCCTAGGGACAGCCGAGCGAGATCCACTTTGGCCGATTGAAATTTTCGGTAATTGGCTAGTTTCGCGCCAGCTTACTTTTATTTCGTTCACCAATACGTCCTTTCCACCCTACTTTTCCACTTCGAAATTCAATTTACTCCGGCGATTTTCACCGGAACCAAGGTAAACACGTTGTATCTAGAGAAAGTAACGCGAGCTCGTCTCGATCATCGACGTTTAATCGATGGATGATCGATGGAATCGATGTAGCGGGGTTCGAAAATTGGTCAGGTGTCAAAGTATACGTAATCCAAGAGTCGAGACGGTGGTTTGAGGAAGATTAGTTGCAGTAGATTTAAACAATTTGCCTGAGATTTAATATTTAACGATTGCAGGTTGATTTTTATCAATACGATAATTATTATTGAGTTGGAATGGAAGGAGGCTTAATACTTTATAGTTTTAATGAAAGATTGTAAGCAGAAATTTTTAACATCAATGCACAAGGTTCTACATCAATAATTTATCACTCCGTTTAGCATATCTAGTGTCACTTCAGCACAAGCTAACCTAACCTCGATGCATTCTAATTTTCACGACACCCTGTGTGGCAGGAACCAACGACATCCACTTTTTTTTATAGATATCCCTAAAGAAAATATTTAAAGAGACTTTGTTTAACCTTAAATTTATCTGAGTGTGTACTACTCTTACGTGTATTTAAAAATATACAATTCTGTGTAAAAAAAGATGGCGATAACCTCAAAACGTGCTTGGAATCTTCACTTACAAAAAATTAAATTACATCGAAAAGTGCGCCCCTTAAAATATTCCAATTCTTTACAAAATAATTTTGGCAATATTCAATTGTCACGCTTTAAATGTCTCACCAAGTATAACCTAAAAAACCAAGTTGGTAACTTAACCTAAAAAACTTTCCTCTTAATTTTTCTTGATAATTTACGAACTGAAACGTGTACCTACATATGAAGGGCACAAATAGCTCTCAAAAATTCGTAATTCATACGTGTGAATGCTTCAAACGCCTCACCCAGTATATCCCAAAGAACCAAGTCGCGAACTTAACCTATAAAATTTTCTTCTCAATTTTTCGCGATAATTTGCAAGAAGATCCCTAAAACCTCGTGACCTATCGATTATATACATCGATTCCATCAACTATACGTCGCAAGTGTACGATCGGAACCGCGGTTCCGTCATTACGACGCTCCGATTCTTTCGCGACGATGTTTGCCCGCGTTCCCCGAGGGCTCGTGTTTATTGTTCCGGCGAACGAGGATTTATCGAGCGCTGTATATTACGAGGCTGGCTCTATCGACACGTAACGCGCGTACACTTTATCCCTCCACCCTTGTTTTCCCTTTTCTTCTTCTCACGGCGAGATGTGTTTCGGCGAGAGACGGTAATAAAACGGGAATCGATGGAACGGGGACAAAAGGAAGGCGTTATGATTTCTTTTTCGTCAATTCTTCTCTCACACCGTCCTTCCATCCGCTGATCTTGGATTTCTTCCACGAGATATTAAAGGATCCCCTTTATTCCACGCGCTGTTCTATATACGCGAACATTGAGACGTTACGTGTGCTAGCACCGCGAGAGAACGTCTACGACGGAATTCTGGAAATATGAGCTTAGGAGAGTGTAAGGGGGAGTTGCTTGTGTATCTTGTTAATATTGGGTTCTTTTATTGTCTAATATGGACGAAATGGAGCGGTTTTTGGTGGTAGTTTGTGTTATAAATCGCTGCTAATTAGGGAATATATCTTGAGTACGGCGAATGTATAGTCGATGGAAGAAATATAGCGAGGTTGTAAAATCTGTGAAATGTCGAAGTTTACTTGTTCAAACATATTATTAAATGAATTGACAGAAACTTGAGAAGATCGGGGCCAGAAATCTTGGTAAAAATGTGAATAGGATATTAAGGGAGAAAAATGGGGATGAAAGTATAGTTGGAGGAAGAAATATAGCGAGGTCGTAAGATTTAGGCGTCAAAGTTTATGTTCGAGCATATTGACAAGGGAGTCGATGGAAATTTGAGAAGATCGGGGCCAGAAATCTTGGTAAAAATGTGAAGATGAAATTAAAGGAGAAAAATGGGGACGAAAGTATAGTCGGAGGAAGAAATATAGCGAGGTTGTAAGATTTAGGCGTCAAAGTTTATGTTCGAGCATATTGACAAGGGAGTCGATGGAAATTTGAGAAGATCGGGCCCAGAAATCTCAGTAAAAATGTGAAGATGAAATCAAAGGAGAAAAATGGGGATGAAAGTATAGTCGGAGGAAGAAATATAGCAAGGTCGTAAGATTTAGGCGTCAAAGTTTATGTTCGAGCATATTGACAAGGGAGTCGATGGAAATTTGAGAAGATCGGGCCCAGAAATCTCAGTAAAAATGTGAAGATGAAATCAAAGGAAAAAAATGGGGATGAAAGTATAGTCGGAGGAAGAAATATAGCGAGATCCTAAGATTTAGGCGTCAAAGTTTATGTTCGAGCATATTGACAAGGGAGTCGATGGAAATTTGAGAAGATCGGGCCCAGAAATCTCAGTAAAAATGTGAAGATGAAATTAAAGGAAAAAAATGGGGACGAAAGTATAGTCGGAGGAAGAAATATAGCGAGGTCGTAAGATTTAGGCGTGAAAATTTACATGTTTAAACATATTAAGAAGCGAATCGACAGAAATTTGGAAAGATAAGGACTTCAAACTTTATTTAAGGCTTCATGAACTATGTCTTATCTTTGATTCTGTTGTAATCTAAGAATAAAAAATTCTGCATTCGATTCTGTCAAATTTTTGCAACCTCCCAATATTTCTCTTTAATTCTACACGAACAGAAAAAGAACCTCAACGCAGTTTCTCTCAATCCTCAATGAAAATACTAGCAAAAAAAATGATCAAAGTGTGAAGAATTCAATATTTCCCTCGAATA